TATGTGTATCGTTAGGCATAAAGTTACACAATGGGTTATTTGTGCTGTGTCCACCACGAGTATCGAAACCCGTTTTTAATGTTATAAGCTTTCAGACTTGCCGCTGAGCTACTGAGGAAAGAGTGGGCCTTTCAAAGAGGAAACACATTGAAATGTTTAATTAAAGTTGTCTTAAGTTGATGTCCAAATTTCAACGAATTAATTGTAAACTCGAAATGGTGTCTTATATAGCAAACAATTTTTCTACTGCAGAAACTACACCTTGTTTAAAAAACTACTTGAAGTAGCTGACGTATTATGAACAGTAGTTAATATTATATAATTCAATGTAATTTTCTTGCAATATTCCTATTGCAAACATTCAGAGTTATGAAGTAGTAATAATAAAACCAAGGTCAGAGATTGAGTAAGCAGAGACATACACTTTCATACATGGCCTGGTGGTTAAGGAGCTCGACTCACAATCTGAGTGTCGCGGGTTTGAATCCCTGTGACCGAATATGACCGCCTTTCAGCCATGGTGACGTTATAATGCGACGGTCAATCCCACTATTCGTTAGTAAAAGAGTAGCCCAAGAGTTGGCTTGGGTAGTGTTGACTATCACTGCTCAATTAGGGACGGCCAACGCAAATAGCTCTAGTGTGCCATTGCACGAAATTTTAAACAAACAATCCAAACCACTTCCACACTAATGACACAGACATCATTCTTGTGTATAGTTAGTCAAGATGTTATTTCAAAGTTAGACTTTCTTTTGAGAATACAAGAAAAGGTATCAAACTTCTGAGAAATATTCAAATATATATTCATCTGTCAAGAGGATTAATGACAGTTCGTTAATCTTTGAGGAGTAACAGTTTCTTAACGAGGTGAAATGAAACTTGAAAGTGACAGAAAGTCAGAATAGTGAAACTAATAAGCACGTAGTGGATAAACGTTCTCACTCAGCCTTGTACCCCTGGCTTATGACCTCCAACTGATGCAATCCTCATGTAATAATGAGTTCTTAAAGAGGGTATGGCGACCACATGCTGCGTTTCCACATTACCCTTAGTTTAGTAACATCAGAAAATTCTATAAAAATGTGGAGTAGAATCTGAAGTCAGTCAGAGACTGCATTGGGTATCTCAAGGTTCTATCAAGCTTCTTCAGAAGTGATTATTCGACCAATAAAACCCTCTACTCCATCTATGCATGTCTTAGCTTCTCAGTGAGTTTTGTTTGTTGCATATTTAAGTTCATAGAGTCTTTTTAAAAATTGTTGTTAAAATTTAGGTTTGTGAAGCCTTGTTAAAAATTCTTTAAGTTTTATCCATAACTGTCGGAATATAAGTACTACAGAAATGTTTATAGTAGATATAAGCTTTGAAAAATGTATAGTTCTTGTTCGTGTTAATAGATGTTGTATGCTTTTCACCTAAAAAGACCTCTGGCTCATCTCTTATTCTTACATAAATCTTCTCGACTTTGGGATCTGTGTGCAACGCCATTTATTGCATTCCTGGTACTTTTTTTAAATAAATCATATTTATAATAAGTAATTTTCCTACCGATAGTGCCGGTTACAAATCGGCACAGCTTCTCCAGGAATTTGTTCTGTGTATTGGCCAACAAAATGTTGTGAAGAATAAGAAAGATAGTTTAAAATATGTTAGTGACAAGTAGAAATAATAGTATATTAAAGTGTATGAAAAGTTAATATGGCTAAAGTTACAGCAGAGATTAAGGCAGAGGAATGATTCCAACTACAAACAAATGTTGTGGTAAACATAAACTTAGTAGTGGCCAGAGTAGCTCCACCTACCTCAACAGAGAACATAGTCCTACACACTAAAGAATTGTTATCCCGTTAATTTATTGTAAGATAGAAGAAGATATGGGATGTTTTCAGGTGCTATAAATTACAGGAGCTTGGTAACAAGCTAACATGATGTTAGCCACACCCAAGTGAGTTGAACATACAAAATACATAAAACTCTATTTATGAGAAAGTTGAAAATTTACAACTTGAACATTTGTTTTATACCTGTAAGCAGATAGACTTAGAAACAGCTTATTAGGGCAAGATTCGCTAAGAAATTATGATATTGACATATCCATTAACTGATGTAATCTGCTCATATAAACAGAGATCTTGAGATTTGAAGGAAATATATATACCTTCAGAATTATGTGCTAAAGTCCAAACTTTTCTGATTATTCATGCATTCAGATGCTGAACACATGCATTAAGTAGGGTAGTAAGGCTAGAAATCAGAAGTCAAAATGCAAAAGCACTGATATTCCTAACCGTAGTGATATATCATTTTCAAACGAGACCCAAAACTCGAGCGCTTTCGAATAGTTCACTATAAAGGGTTACATTTAATGAGTGTAATGAAATATATAGGTACGGATGTCAACGTGACGTAAGCCGAATATTCAATATGAGTTAGCCTTGGCAACTAGCCAATCATAACATAGTCCACAAACAGTCGGAAAGGCAGTAAATCTATATGTTATAAAAGAAATAAGGTTAGTTGTAGTAAGAAGAAAACAACACTAACCTAGCAGAAGTAGTAGTGGAAACGTTAAACGAGCACAGAACCAGTAGCAAAGCAGCAAATAGTAATAAAGAAAACAATAAACATAAAATAATAGACAAAAGACACATACAGGTGCTTAGGGAACAAGCATTCCAACAGGAGAGTTTGAGATTAATCAGAGTTACAACTAAAATAGTTGCCTAAAGTACAATACTTTAGGCAAAATGAAAAAAATATATATTAATTGAGCACATAGATAAAGAGGAATCAGGTTAATATAATGCTGTATGTGTAAGTGAAGTGTCTCAGCTTACACAGTGTGTATAAAAGTTTTAAATGTAAATACGAGTAATGTATTTACATTGTTTAAACATATAGTAGTAGATAAAGCAAACAGCAAAGAGAAGGTAGCTGCAGTACATGAACATAAACCAGGTTTTAATAAGAAGTGCATAAACACAGTAAAATAGATTGTGATTCTATATTAGGAGATATAAGCAATGACTATTGAATTTATTAAAGGAATATACAAATATATTTAAGAGACGTGATCCTAATTCTTGTACAAAGAAAAGTGAAAGATATGATAGTGCTAAACAGTAGTAAACTGTAGCACAGAGACCCTATAGAGTGCTGGAGAAGCACAGGGTAGAATTAAAAGCATGCATAAAAGACATGTTTGAGTAAGGAGTTATGGAGGACATTAGTAGTCCTTTGTCATCACAAGCTGTGCTCGTTCCTAAAATAAGACGGACAATTAAGGTTCTGTGTGGATTTTTGGACCTTTGATTTCATAACTACTAAAAATACCTTACTGTTGCCGAATATACAAGAGACATTAGGCAGGTTAGGTTAAAGAAAGCATTTTTTGACCAAGGACTTGAAAATCAGCTATTGGCAAGTTGAGATTGAGGAAGAAGATAAAACTAAAAATGCAGTTATATTACAATAAGAGAAATACTAATTCAATAGAGTGTTTCTGGTTTATGTAATATCCTTCAATATTTCAAAAGTTGGAGTTTTGAGAAACTCTTAGAAAAAATTAGATATGTATTTGATAGATTAAGAGAAGCAACTTTCAAATTAAAGCTGACAAAGTGTCAATTCCTAAGAAGAAGAAAAAATATTATTTAGGTCATTTGGTAACCACAAAAAGTGTAGAACCAGACTAAAAAATTAGAAGTATGAAAGGAAGTCAACGTCACGTAAGCCGGATATTCAATATGAGTTAGCCTTGAGAACTAGCCAATCTTAACATAGTCCACAAACGATATGTTTTTCAAAAGACAAACTCAACAAATGTATCCTTGAGAGAGAGAATTAAATAAATTTTAATAGCTGCTGTTAATGGTGTTCAGAAAACATCTAAGAAATTATTACAGTAAAAAAAAGTCGCAAAAGTACTGTTGAAAGTTAAATGAAAAATACAACTTTAGATAGAAACTTTAGAAAGTTACATTTAAATTAATTTTAAAGATATAACTTGAAATCCTATGCAAAATAAATGTTTAGATAAATTGCTATGTATTTGTTCTGTTTCGCTATGTATATATAAGTGTTACGGATTAGAATTTCAAATGTTCT